TTTTTCAGTCAGGTCATCTGGACAGTTTCTTTTAAAAGAAACTGTCCCGATGACCTCTTATTGTTTATCAGAATACTTTTTAGATAGGAAAAAAGTAAAAGGCCATGAGGATGATAGTGGTATTACAAAAAAAAAGATCTATTCACATCTTGTCCTATCAGGACACGATTTGAGACATCAAAAAGCTCTACCAGTCAGCACATTTATAAACACATTACATATGCATTTGACAACAAGACGTTGAGATTTATCCATGAAGCACTTCCAGTTAGGGCTTAGTCCTGATGAGATGTTGTTTTTCCAGCCGGCAGTTCTGATAAGCCTGCACAGAAGCTCTTGGGGAATTTGCGATAAATGAAGCTTTTTCCTTAGTTTACCCATGTCCCAGGAGAAATTTGATAGTCGGCCCGTATCCAAGGTCAAACGGGGGAGTCAAATTCAGATAAGCCACAATTGTTGATTTTCTTCAGGCAGACTGTTTTTTTCTTGTCAGCCTCGAGTCCTGCTGGTACTTTCCAGATCCAAAATGGCCAGAATTATGGGCATGTCCACTCCACTGGATCCGTGCTATGAGCCTTCTTCAAGGTCGATTCCAACATGCTGGCGAGTCCTGGAAGCCGCAGGTGGCCTGCAATTCTCACAAATCACTTCTATCTTATGGTTTAGCTCGTAAATCAGCTGATTTTGAGTACTAGTAGCATGAACCAAACCTTCACACAGACTCGGAAGTTTTGTCATGGCCGAAACTGCTGCAGATGTCTTCTTCAAAAGTTGAAAACATAGGGCCCGCCGATGCCAAAAAGCAGAAACCCTGCTATCATGAATCCAATTATACAGTATAAATGTCTTCGTCTTCCTCCTGAGACAGAACTGAGAGACACATCAGCTGCCAAACTCCCCAGGGATCCCTGATGTACCCTGCAGCGCGAGTCTCGTCATGACATGAGGGCTCTTCAGGACCCTGTCGTTTTGTTGAAAAGATTTTGTGGATTGCGTTGAAAGTCCAGCTCATCAGATCCATAATACTATTTTTTCGTTCAGAAGATGTGTACCAGGAGCTCCAAGACACACAGAGAGCAAAAGCAGGAGGAAGAGGAGAACAGGGGAGAGAGAGGAGAAGGCGTCCATCTTGAGCGAGAGCAGAAAAAGATGAGTGAATGTTTCAGGTAACAGTAACAGTGACACCCCAAACATGCACATAAGAGATGTATCTCACTTTAGCAGCTTCTTTGGAGAGCTGAGCATCGTTGTTCATGACCTGCAGGTTGTGAAGCTCCTCTCTGCGTTTCAGGATTTCTGCTTCCAAACCGTCCAACTGGACCTGGAAAGTCAGGCTCTCGTCCTGGAGAGACAAAACACGGGAAGGAAAGAAAAGGAAATATGAATAAAAGGTGCGAGGAAGGAAGCAAACACATGAGAAAGATGTGTTACCTGATCATCAGTTTAATGCAATAACATAAACTATATATAATAGTCTACATGTGAACTACAGCAAATATTAGAGGAACAAATAAAAGGCTAGAAAACGTGAGAAATAGAGAATTAAAAAGTCCTGATTGAACATCTAAAAAAATCATGTGATTAATGATTAACCAATAAGAAAGAAAACACACAATGCCTAAAAAAGTTAAATCTGGTCCTCTGGACGTTCAAAAAACAAAACAAAGCAAAAAAAAAAAAAATGTAGAAACGTTTCATCTTTCATCCGAAAGACTTCCTCTGTCTGAGGTGCTGTATTCATCTCAGTCTTATAAATAGCACCTTCTCAGAGTGGATCAACCAGTTTGCTGCTGACAATCAAAACCATTACTAAACAGGGTGGAGGCCTCCGTGTTCAACTGTCCCCATCTTACAATCTATGCTGTTATTGCTAGTATCACTCAGCCCTCTGCGAATAGTAAACAGCCATCAGTGTGCTAATGATCCATTGTTAGGCTGATGGTCCTTCTTGATCATGTGAGCAGCTGGTTTTGGTTGTCAGCAGCAAAACTGGTTCATCCACTCTGAGAAGGTGCTATTTAAGAGACTGAGCTGAATACAGCACCTCAGACTGAGGAAGTCTTTCGGATGAAAGACGAAATGTTTCTACATTTTGTTGTTGTTGTTTTGCTTTGTTTTGTTTTTTGAATGTCCAGAGGACCCGGTTTAACTTTTTAATATTTTTCTACCTGGATTATTGAGCATGCATCAAGAAAACACACAATGGTTTCAAGGTTTTAATCCCATTGTTAAAACTATATTTACAGATGTTAATCTTCTTGATTTCATGTCATTTAAAGACTCAGAGAGGTGAGGTAGGCTTGATATTTGCACACAAATCAACAACATTCATCAGTGACAGCACAGTTGGTGACTTGATGTCGAGCATCATCCAGATTATGTTTTACAGGTGAGGCCCTGGCGGCTCCAGCCAGATGAAGCAGAAAGACCAACTGGTTGAATTAACATGGCTCCATCGTAACAAAGTTTAGGAGCACTGAGAGTCAAAAGCTGAAACATTTGCTTCAATTTAAACTTAACAAGCGGGACGCCGATGTCCCCCATCGCTGAAGGGTTTGAATAGTGAATGTGTGTTGTTCTGGACTGGAACTGATCAGGGAATGCAAGTAAACGTTAATGTTTTTGGTGCACGATATTCAAGTGCAGATGTTGGATGCTGTCTATCATGGTGCACTAAGAACCATAACTGGCTGTGATTATCGTACCCACCACTGCACCCTGTGTTCACTGGTTAACTGGACATCATTAACTTCACACAGACTCTTTCACTGGTACATTTTCATCTGTAAATCACTTCTTGGTCTGCTGCCTTCATACATCTCCTCCTACATGTCTCTGCATGAATGCAGCTACAGCGTGCGCTCTCAGGACATTATTACCTGCAGTGTTCCCTCAGTGCGAACTGAACTTGGCAAAGGGCCTTTTCCTACTCCGCTCCTGTTTCCTGGAATATCCTTCAAAAAGACCTGAAGCTCTCGACCTTGACCTCTCTAAGTGGCTTCAAGAATCTGTTGGACTCCTGGCAAGGACCAATGCAGACATGTTCCTGTTTTTAGTTTTTTACATTCGCCTTATAATCAAGCTGTTTTTGTTACTCTTTTTGCCATCTTATTTGTAAAAATATAAAATAAAATAAAATTTGTTTACATATACCGGTATATGTCCGGTTTTTTCATTTACCCTTTATTTATCCAGGTAGTCTCAGTGAGCCACTAGAACTCATTTTCAAGAGAGACCTGTTTTAGGGAGCAGATAGTGGGGGTTAAGGGCCTTGCTCAGGGGCCCAGAGTGGGGTGAATGAGAGTGGAGGGAGGTGTGGGTTTTTCACCTTTTCCACCCACATTTTGATGTTGACGGTACCGGGAGGTGAACCTGCGACTTTCCGATCACAAGCCCATCTTCTAACCTCTGCGCCACCACTCCCCATAATGGGGATACAGCGTAAACAGCGACTCGTCCCTGTGCGTTCCTATTTTCTTGTATCGGCTTTTGAAATGCAGCTGATTTCACCGTCAAAGTGCATTTATTAAGCAAAAGTTGAGACACACCTTTACTATAATTTTGAGCAAACAAACAATTGTTTTTAGGTGGTTATCTTGTAAAATTTCAAAGAAATGTACAGCGAGTCGTCCCTCAGCGCATTCCCGCGGCCACAAATCGTTTTTTGAAGTGCAGCTGATTTGACAATCCAAGTGTATTTATTAAGGAAAATTAAACGGAGACACACCTTCAGTATAATTTCAAGCAAACAAATAATTGTTTTTAAGTGTTAATCTTGTTCATTTCATGTTAAAGTTCTCCAGTGCACGCTCCCGCAACCACCATTTGGCAGCCAGTAGATTTTTGGCACAACACCGGTCCACATTTCCAGGTCGTCAGCGGTGACACGTAACAAACGTGACGCATCAGCAGTGACGCATAATAGAGGCGACTTATATTAGCATATATATACGAAGCTATGTATTTATGGATTTTTCTACTTTATTAGACATATTTGGATTGATACAACTTATAGGGCGGTGCGATGTTTACGGCGGAAAATATGGTACTTGTACTACTTTTCCTACTTCGCGGTTTTTCACTTATTGCGGGT